TCGGAAGCAATAACGACCTACAACCTTTTTATCTGAACAGAAAGAAATTATTTTCTTTACAGGATACTTCTTCTGTTACAATGCATCACAAACAAATGGCCCCTGAAAGCACCTTCTGTAATCTGGGCACTGACCTGCTGTGCTCGCAAGTCATGGAACAGAAACCCGCATCACGCAAACGCGCACCCAGGACTTAATGGCATTCACAGACAATATCACAGCTAAATTAGTCAGGGAGAACAAAAAGCCCTCCCTTTACACTGCATTAAGGGAATGGGTTGCAAAGCCACCTGGATTGTATTGTAAGACTTAACTAGCTGGATGTCATCTTATGTTACTGATTTAGTTATGTGAATACTTAAAAATAAAACCTATTTTACTATATTTTACTATTTATAAATATTTTTCTAGTATTTTTTTCATTGTTAATGTGACCACTTCTCTGTGGTCATTTCATAGATGCATGTTGTCACAATTTCATTGCACTCATGAACTGTGTGGATTTCACTCTGATACTAATCCTGATTTTACTGGGCAGAATAGATGTTTTGGTTTGGGGTTTTTTTGTTTTATTTTGTTATTACAGTGCCAATATCTTTCCCAGTGCCTGAGGAACAGAAGTAAAAAGCCCAGTTTTTAGAGAGCCTTTACAGTGACTGCAGTTAGCCCTCCTGTTCTTCCACATGCTTGCAGAACATGTTATGCTTTAAAGTTTCAAAGAGGATTACACGCAAAAGGGTGAGCAAGCCACTGCTTTCAATTTCTTAAATTCTCCTTTGCCAGAACAGTTATTGCGACATACAGGGAAGCGGAGCATTTGTCTTTGTGCAAATTTTTAGTTGAACGGATTTCCTAATGAAGAACATTGTCTTTGAGGGGAGGCAGGGAGCATGGTCCCCCTTTATTACTATTAGAAATACATCTTCCTTCCATCACTCAGACACCGAAAGCAGCAAAAAGCATTTTTAAAGAAGTGGCACAGAGTTAAGAAGGAAAAGGAAATTCTACATACAAAGGTTTCGAAAATAATGAATCGTTTGCACTACAAAGCTAGGGCCAGTAACTGATCTCACTCCTGAGGTTAATTTTGCTTACAGGGAGGGAAAAAAAAGTAATATTCTTCCCTATTCCAGTCATCCTCTTCCTTATTTCGACTACTGTTTGTCACTTGCCAAGACATATTCTACTGGGGGTCCTTTTATAGTTACATTCCATCATACTGGTCTTGCCTGCTCTGATTGCTGCCAGAATCTTCAACCAGTACTCTTCAAAGCATGCAGCAGGCTGATGGAAACGACTTCAGATATTATCTGGCTCTCTACAGTGTCCTTGGTGCCCTTTGATCCCTTCTCTTATCTGGCTGTGACTGCTCATCTAGGGCTATGACTCCTTTAGTTCCGTCTGGGATCTCGCTCCCTCACCCGGTTCTGGGTCTGGCTGCTCCCTTTGAGACGCAGTAGTCTTGTTTCTCCATTTTATTACAGCCTGTTGTTCCTTGCTGATTGTTGCCTCTCATGTTATTCTTGCTGCACTCTCTCCTCCTCTGTTGATGCAG